AGGCCGCCGCCCTCCGGGGACCGGGACCCGCTGCCACGACCCGCGCGCCGGACCCGCGTCCGTAAGTGCTGCCCGCGCATTGCGGTGGCCGCGTCCCCCCGGCGCGGCGCGGGTGTCGTCAGCGGGAGAAGCCTGCGCGGAGAACGGAACTCGCCCCTGGCACAGGCAAAGGCGACCCCGGTCTGCAGGGCGTCCGCGGGGCGGGGGCGCCGAACTTTTAGAGGGAGACACGGAACCAACTCCGTGTTTACAGTCGGCCTGGTTTCGAAAAGCAAACTCGGAAAGCGCGAGAAGCCACCCGGGCACGCATGGCCACCCGGGCTTTGTGTTAACTGCCGTGGACACCTGGCTCCTCTTAGCGAAGATCTCTTGTGCCCGTGACAGCTGGCGAGGGTGGCCTGCGTCCCCAGTGGCTTCGCAGGACCTCGGGTGTGGGTGGGGCGTGTTCTGGGGTACACCTCTACCGTGACCACCCCTCTTCCCTTGAGAGGGGTCAGGAGCCCACCCCTGAGCCTGACCCTCCCTCCTAGCTCGGGGTCCCCCAGGTGAGTGTGTGCTTCCCAGTGTCCGGCAGAAGCGACCTACCTCGAACAGCGGGAACGGTGATCAAGCTGCCGCGCCCTGCCCCTTGTCGTCTGTGGTCCGTTCGCGGTAGTTCGTCTGTCACACACACCGTCAGGCACCGCGGCAGCGCTTCCCTTCTCGTCAGACGTCAGTTTATTCCAGCTCCGTTTAATTCCATAAAAACCAGATGGCTTCTGATTTTGTAAATCTTTGTGAAATGTCTGATCCCATATAAAGTGCACGCGGTATAAAGTTCCAGAGGTACAGTGTGCGGCGAGGTCCCCTACCCCGCGGTGGCCACAGTGAGCACTAGAGAAGCTCGCGGCTCCTGTTTCTCTGATGACTTATGTCAAACAGACTTGAAAAGGCCGCTTTTCGGCACCTGCACACTCGTGAATTTTTCAAAAAGACTCACCAACTTTTTTAGTTTTTTGTCGGTTTCTGTCTTTTCTGTTTTCTGAAGTGTCAGAGACTCAGGCTGCTCTGCAAAGGGACATTGCAGCTCTGCAAGTTAATGGGTTTGTTTCCTCGTCCCTTGGGGTCAGAGACAGAGCTTCATGCAACTTCAGAGCCCCTGAGCTACCTGCCCCAACTACTCAGGTGCTAGGTCCCGGTCACCGTCCACACACTCAGTCTTGCGAGCGGACCCCGCAGTGACCTGTGCTGCAGCCTCTTCCCCTTAGGGGGCCCCGGTGTCTGTAACCCCCTCCCAGCACCCGATTCTAGGTTGTTGTCTGGCTGGTTCCCACACACACACACACACACACGCCTCCACTTCTCTGCAGGTGACTGCCGTAGTTTGTGGAGAAGCTGGTGGCAGGGAGTCATGTGGGCAGTGGATAAGACGGTGCAGTGACCGTCTGGTCCAGTCGTCAGGAGCCACTGACAGGAAATAAGTAATTCCAAGGAGGAATTACTAAGATACTGAGAACCGCCTCGAGGAGATTTTTTTTAAGTATGTAATATCTAAATTTTAAGATTATAGAATAACCTTGTAAAGCATTTACTATTTTTTTTTTTTTTGCCACTTACCTACTAGAAATCTAAGGAGGACATAAAGATAAATGTTGCCATTACTTATGAGTTTTTAATTTTTTTAATCAGGTTTCAGAATTCATAACACATCTAACTATAATATAGTTACAAAGTTGCAGGTTGTCTTTACGTGTGCACTCTCCCAGGGCATTCAGACCAAAGGGCCGCTCTGCTCCTGCTTTTCCTTTTTAAAGTACAGCTGTCCCATTGTCTCCGGGCCCCAGTCGGCCTCCTTCTGTGAGAAGGGGCCTGGGGCTCGTTCAGCTCCCGGCAGTCATGCCTGTCGTTGTCCGGATCATACGTACGGTCTTAGCGTCAAACTGGGAGTGACACCCAGGGGGTTAGCGAAGGGCGATGCACCAGCTCGCCCGGGGCGTGCTGTAAGGTTTCACACATAGCTGAAAGTAGTCTGAGTATTGTTCTCTTAACTTAAAATCCAAATAAATCAGCTACCACAAGACTTCATCAGAATGTCAGAATCTCAGGTCTCGAGGCCGGCGTGCGCGTGAGCTAACCTGTGGTTTGTCGTTGCAGGCAAGTCAGAACCTGCAGCATGTCCAGCTTTGAAGAGGCCGACACCGAAGAGACGGTCACTTGTCTCCAGATCACTGTGTTCTACTCTGGCCCGCTGCAAAGCGGGCCCTTCCAGTCTATAAAGCTCGGGATGCGAGAGAAGCTCCCCTCCAGCGAGGTGGTGAAGTTCGGCCGGAACTCCAACATCTGTCATTACACTTTTCAGGACAAGCAGGTGTCCCGAGTTCAGTTTTCTCTGCAGCTGTTTAAGATGTTCAATAGCTCAGTTCTCTCCTTTGAGATTAAAAACATGAGTAAGAAGACGAGTCTGATCGTGGGCAACAAGGAGCTGGGCTACCTGAACAAAACGGACCTGCCAGCCAGGTGCATGGTCCGCTTCGGCGACTACCAGCTTCTGATGGAGAAGGAGGACGGAGAGTCACTGGAATGGTTTGAGACTCAATTTATTTTGTCTCCAAGATCACTCGTGCAAGAAAACAACTGGCCGCCACAGAGGCCCATCCCTGAGAGTGGCCATTACTTGCCCTATTCCACCCAAAACATGTCTCCTACTGAAATAGACGAAAACGAGTCGTGGATAGAGGGCTGAGGGGGATCGTGGGTGCAGAGACCCGTGGACGCTGTGTAGAAACGCCACTTACTGAGTGCTTTCTTGTCATCTATCATGTCAAATTTGGGATCCGAAGTCTGTGAGCTGTCAGTCGTCAGCTTAGTCCCCTGTCATTATTTTCAGGGTCCACTCTTGAGGTTGGCGTCCAAACAGTACCCTTTGGGACGGAGTGCGCTCCAGCAGCTCGCAGTGTTTTCTTCTCACGCGTGACTTTAGTCCTGTTTCGTTTTGTTTCATTTTGTTTTCTAAGAACTGCCTCTTGTTTTGGTCATATCATTTCACAGCAGCCATTTGTTTTCAAGGTCAAGGCTATGGGCACATTGTCACTGGGGTTGCAGACAATGGGTACATACACTGCCAGAGCCTCGACAGCACATTCTGGGGCCGCGCCTGGGCGTCACTGTGGCTTTGGTATGGGAACTTACATGAGCACTGATCCCTTGATTTTCTAAGATTTTCTTTGTGTAGAATTATAGTGTTTATTCCCAAGAATAAAATCTTCCTTCTCTATATTCAGCATCTAAAACCAGTATCTTGAACATTTTAATGAACCATTGTTACATTTTCTCACTGAATTTTAAATTGATTTTTATGTACTGCGAATTTTTAACTTCCATGAAATCACTTTTAACAGCATCCATGCACATAATAAAGTGGAACTCTCGTTTGCTCTGTGTCCCCTGTGCTCCACTCACATCCCCGTGACTGTCTGGTAACTGTCACTTGTACTTTGGAATCCCACCCCCTTTTCACTCAGCCCCCCAAGTCCCCTCCCATCTGGCGACCCTCAGTTTGTCCTCTGTATCTATGAGTCTATTTCTATTTTGTTTATTTTGTTCTTTTGATCCCATACGTAAGTTAAATCCTATGACATCTGTCTTTCTCTTGGAACTTTCGCTATGCCCCGAAGGACTCGTCTGTCCTAGGGAATTCATTTCTCTGGGGCTCTTTAAATAGAGTGTGTCTTAGTCGCTGCCGGTGTTAGTCACAACACTTCAACTTCATGACAAGCTGCTGCTTTCCACTGGCAACATCTCATATGCCATGTGATTACATATCCATACTCTAGAAGATTCTGTCTTTACTATTGAATGCGCTTACCGACGTGAAACAGCATAACTTTTAGCCACTGACATGAGTGGTAATGTGGGTTTCAATACGCCTTGTAGCAAAATGAGCTGTAATCTTGCTGTCAGGAGATAACCATGTTAGCGTTGTATGTGTTTACGTAGTTATTTCGTTTTGTTTTTTTTTTACTTTCTCAGTTCTCTAACGTTTAATTCCTTACGGTGGTTACTATCTGTTAAAATAACAGGTGTGGTTACTCTTTTACTAACTGGGCCCTGACTGAAACCATCAGAGTTTCCACTTCAGGTAGCGGCTGAGGATGAGCACTGTGGAAAATGGGCCTGGAAGATACCAGGCTTCTAGTTGACGCCAGCTGTCCCCAAGTTCCATCACTCGTCATTCTACTCTTCAACCTCCACGGAAATATTTATTTGGCCTCGTACCTCTGAAGCGATGAATTCAGGGCCAGGGACACTGGTGAAGAAAATGGAAGAGAGTGGCTCCAACACTCGGTTGCTGGTGGAAGGCTGCCAAGGGACGAGCGTCAATCAGCCCAGCGCTGCTCACCAGCATCTTCACAGAAGAGAGGACAGCGGCAGGGGACGGAGTCGCTCTTAGTACTGGTGGTACAAAGTAATTGCTGCTCGAAAGCCAAAACCAAGGCACTGACATGTGTAACAAAACTTCTGTGGTAAGACGGTGGAGCTTCACCTGAGGTCAGAGTGCCGCTTACGACATCGCTTTTGATATCTTAAAACAGCTTTTCAATCATCGATAGTTTAGACTGACGTTTTCCAACAGCTAAGCAAAACAAACAAAACAAACAAAAACCTCAAAAACAATCCTGATCTGATGTCCCTCAGAAGGAGGCCTGCACAGTGCTGACTGTAGGCGATTCATCCAGCTGCCTGGGACTGCCCACCGTTTCCTGTTTAACTTGTCATTAACTCTGAGCTTCAGTTTCCTCTTCTGAAAACAGGGGCTAACACAGGGATTAAAAGAGCCCTCCCTCACAGTCAGCCGAGACGAGGTGCGCAGCCTCACGGAAGTGTTAACGTGGTGCGTGTCACCACGAGCGGCACGGAGCACAGGAGGGCCTATGTTTAATGTCACGTGGGAAAGATGACTGAACCACAGAGGACATTACTGTGATCTGGGTGTCAGAAAAAAACTCCTTTAACTAATCTGCAATAGTAATAAAAATGGTCATGATATTTTAATATTTTCCTAATTTTACTTCATCTTCAGCATTAATATTTCCTAAGAACACCAGAATCAGATATGGGAAATCTGTTTTTCACTGAATTTTTTTGTGATCTCCTTTACTGACATAATTAAGCAAAGGTACTAAGTAAATGAAGATGGAAAAACACTGTAAAGGTATTTGATATAAAATTTTTAAAAAATGTGTTCTTAAATTATGTTTAGAACATCTTTATGTAGTTGAAAAAAAAAGAAAAGAAAACTCTGGCCTCTACTAAAAGAATGTATTTCTCTAACAGAAGAAAAAAGGCAGACACCATTCCGAATTATTCCATTTCACAAGTCTGAGCATCTTAAAAAAACCCTGGCATACCGCCCCCCACCCCAGCCACCCCGTTTGTGTGCTGACAGCGACTGTCCACACGGCGGTGGCGCTGCCATTCTCCATCCCCCGCCTGCCGCTCTCCCTGTGACCCTGCGCCCGGTCCCCTGTACTCCCCCGGTACCTGCTGCTCTTGACCTTTCTCTACCCAACCTGAGTCTGCGCTCAGCTGGGCTTCTCCGCCTGCAGCCTCCCCAGGGTGACCTCAGCCAGGATGTTCCCAGCAATGACTCTGAACGGTACCTGGACCTCGTCCCTGAGCCGCAGACATCACCTACTCGACATCTTCACTCGAACTTCTCATAAGCACCTCAAATTCAATGTCCCCAAACAACCAATTTCCTCCACGTTCCCAAACCTGTTCCCCCGACATGTATTAACAACGTCGGAAACCAAGAAGTGACTGCCGGGCACAGCTGCCCCGCTGGGTCCGCGGTCACACTTACACAGTGGGCGCAGGGAGAACACGACCCCAGAGACCCGCACTTTCTGCCCCTGATGCAGGGCGCAGGCGCGGGGCCGGA